GCGCGTCGGTCAAATGTAAGATCCCCGACCAATTCTACACGTGTCTGTACAAATTAGTGTGAATGCTAACGTCCGTCCTAAAGTTCTTTCGTCTGACTATGTCTACAGGAGACTAGTATGTTAATGAAGTCTGGCTGTAGAACTACCTTTCGTCTTCGTGTTCTCGATGACACCCGAGCTTCAAAGATTCCCCACTCATTTGAAAACGGTAATGATATTGTAAACTTGGGAAGCTGTATGACATTCATCTACAAGGACAAGTAAAATGAAATGCTCACGAGGTGTATACCTGGGTACGAAGTCTGTAAAGCCTACAACTTGCAGGAGAAAAAACATCAAAGCAACTAGTTTAGTAGATAACCTCATGACTGATGCGAACTGGGACGACCACAACTAAAAAACAATCCGCAAACACCTAACTTCATAGGAAACCTCTCCCGTTCCACTCGAGCCTTGTGTTCCTGTTGGTTGCCCTTGAGACACTTGTGTCCCCGACACAACCTGAGATTGACCTGGTTGCGTTGAACTGCCAGCCTGGTTTGCTGTTTGTACGTTGCATAGCTGCGGCCGCTTCGGCGTCAGTCTCAGGGGTAATGCCATATCTCTGTAAATTTGTTAAGAGGGCCGAATACAGGCAGTGTCGAGCACTCACATCTTCATCCTGAGCAAGAGCTACATCGACGGTGTGTATAGAACTTCCTCCTGAAAAACAAGTTAAGATTCCACCGTCGGGACTCGAGCGGTATTGACTGTGGCGCGTTTAGAGGTTGAGTGCTGATACGCAGTGAACCCAGCAATTGCGCCAACGAAGGCCAAATGATGGGCTCGCAGGAGGAGCTTCGGTATGAGACATGGGGTTCGTACCAGCGTCCCAGAAGTCATTGCCCTATAGAAATATTAGAGTTTCAAGAGCAAATAAACAAGAGATTATACTGACATATTTCGACAAGCCTCCGAGTCTGTTGTTTGGCTGCTGCCTGGAGACCTGACTAGCGTGCAAGATCTAACGAAGGAATAAGCAAATGATTAAGGTGTTCACAACTGAATGGCGCACGGTATCTCTTGATCGAACTGGACGTCCCTGTTCAAGTAGTGAGATACAACGCGAAAGCGAAGTACAGACGACTTACCTTGAGCTTCGCATCGGGTTTTGCATTGCTATCATTTGGACTCTGAACGATCACCAAGCCCACTTAGAAAAGACACTGGCAACGAATAATAAACATACTCACACGATCATCGCCTGTATGTTTGAGCGCTGCATCCAGGCTCCATACATATATCTTTGCGTCCAATCCACCACTGACGATATATTTTCCATCAGGGGAAATGACAACAGCTAAAACTTCGTCGTCGTGCAAGAGCGGGTTTCCGACTGGCTGATTGGTCTTGAGGTCCCAGATGCGAACTGAGCAGTCCATTGATGCGCTAACAAGATGGCTTTCATCAGGGGAAAGACAGAGGGAGTCGACGGAATTGGCATGACCGTGAAAAACAACGAGCTCCTTCCCATCAATCGACCGCCATTTTCGGATGGTGCAATCGAGTGACGCGGAGAAAATGTGTGCGCCATCCTTGGACCAACACAATGATGTCACCTCGCTGTCATGGCCCTTGATCTCCATAAGCAGCTCGCCGTCCTTTGACCACACACAGATCACCTTGTCCTCCCCGCCGCTCGTGAATTTGTCCCCTTGTGGAGAGTATCTGACAGCCCAACCCTCCCTTGGCCAGTCTCTATGGGTGGTGTTATGTGTTGGCCAGTATCCGGGTTCCAGCGTCGTATGGTGCCGTCTTGCGATCCACTTGCTATCTCCTGGGCATTGGGAGACCAATCAATGCACCTCACCGAACCGCCATGCCCCTCCCATGGGTCACCGACCATGCTGCTCTTCCTGATGTTCCATAGCCGTAGCCTGCCATCTGCGCTTCCGCTCACGACCATTGATTCATCTGGAGAGATTGCTATCGAGGCTACCTCTACCCCGTCATCATTCCAAGGGCTCCCCACTGGCTCTCCGTCTCTTGTCCACTGACACATTGAACCATCGCGTGACGCGCTCAGTATATTGCAGCTGGTGCCCAAGCAGGCAAGATTCCAAATGATTTTGGAATGAGCCTCGATTACACACTCCGGTGCCAAGCTCCCTGGTGGACGTTCAGGCGTTGGTTTCTTCCACGATGTAGTCCTGGTATTGTGATTTACGAAGTAGGACCGACCGAGTGGTGAGATGTGCCATTCGCATCCGGGAACGAGTTGTCCGGGATGATCTATGTTTCACCATGAGTTCCTCGGTGCTAGTGGCACATTCTTCAAGTTCGCTCACCTAGTCGCACCCCTGGTAAAGGTAGGTTCGATGAAACCATTACGAGTGCATTATCTTGATAGTAAATTCCACCCTCCAACGACTCATCCTGCCACCATTGAGGAGGAAGCGCTCCATTCCCGCCTGCTTCTCGTTGAGTCAGTCAGTAGGCATCAGAATGCAGTTACTCACCTTCCCAAAGTGCATCCTGGCGATATTGTGCACCATAACGTGGTGGATCCTTCTCCTTCGTCCGGCGAGGTGTGCTAACTACCGGTGAGTTCAACGTCACTCCTCGTTTTCCTTCTCTCTGTTGTGCTGATGTGCTTGACTCGGCCATAACGCTGGCGAAGAAAGTTTTTAATTACCGCAGTCTTTACAGACGCGTTGACAGAGCTCAGCAGTATGGAGACTGAATTATCGAGGGCGAGGAGAGAAGGTGGAAATGATGAAGAGACTGCTAGATAAGTAGTTAGTTGTGCATGCTGTATTTGCAGGCGTGCTTTTGCACTGCGTTTCGCCGGCAGTGCTTCGAACGTCGGGGCAGTTCTATCGATTGCTGTACATTACGCGAGCGTCAAGATACTGTGAACAGCACACCGGTCAATTGTAAAATAACCGATTGCATTTCTAATTATATCACGTCATGTTGACTCCCGTCCTCGGTCCTTTCCTAAGCCGCGCTGATCGATAATCCCCAGTGCACAAGAAAGAAGTCCTCCCCGTTAGACTCCATCTATGTACGTAGATCTCCACTTTAGTCACCTCGAGATCAATCCTTTGGTTGTCCTTGATGACGACTCCATCCACTGACTGTAAAGCTCGATCAGACTGCCGAGAGCATCTGCGGCCCAAAGTGGGCTGTCGCACAAGACTTGAAAGTTTACGAGGTCGCTCCAGCTGCATCTACCATTAATTAGGGCTCAAAGGTACCGGTAAATGTCCATTCGGTAGAGATCTCTCAAAGAAAGAAGGTGCGTATTCTGTCCATGATCATTGTGTCGTACTCATTTTACATAGCATACATTCAATAACCTTGATCCTTCAACTTGTGCTTCTCTCAAGCTCACCGTCCTCAACCCCACCGGTCGCGTCTGGACAATGGTCGCAGCGTCCATCATCTACAACGATACCATCGCAGCAGCCGGTTTCGCACATGAACTCGCCAAATATGGTGAATAGTGCACCAAGCGAGGGTCAGAGAGTCGAATACGCAAAGACGATCCGTACGTATCTCAAATCTTCAATTACATATCCCTAATGTACATACAGTCGACCTACTCACGCGCCCACCTCCCCGCCCTGATGGCAAGATCCTCCTGGTATCGCAAACTTCACCAATGCAGTTCCAACCTTCAAGGGCATTATCCAGGCATTTACATCCTACAAACCTCAACTCAGTGCACACAATGCCAAGATCTATGTCCGTCATAGCGGTCCCAACTGGCAAGCAGGTCTTAAAGCCATCCGTCTACTTGGTTCGTCCCACCAAGTATCTATAAACGCGCATACACTAACACAAACACAGACGAACCCCTCGGCATCCCCATCCGTGTCTTCGGCCCCGATACCCATATCACCGAAAATCATGCCCATTGCCCTCGGCCTCAAATCCACAACAAGCTCGACAGCACTCACAAGCATCCCCGCTGTCGCACCCGGCATCCCCAAGATCTCACCCGCAGCTCCCGAGCCCGGGGCCAGCAATGTCAGAACCATCTACGCAGACACGATGTCGTCGTCCGTTTCGATTCCGCCAACAGCACCAAGGGGTCCAGGCCCGCATACAGACCATTCGACGAAGACACCTGCAGCTTCGTCTAGGGTCTCCAGCCACGCGCCATCCAGGGAATGTCGGACTTCGACTACAGCTGTAAACACGCACCCCTCCATTGGCAACTATGATTTACCCCTTTGGTGGACACCACATCCAGAAATTCTACTGGGGCACACGTGAGACTCTTCTTCCCGTATACACCTCTCTCTCAGAAGCCGTCAAGAAGCACCCCGACGTCGATGTCGTCGTCAACTTCGCGTCCAGCAGAATTGTGTATAGCAGCACGATGGAGTGTTTTTGGGTACGAGAGTATCAAGGCCATCGCGTTGATCGTTGTGGGTGTGCCAGAATTCCGGGTGAGGGAGATTCTGTGGAAGGCAAAGGAGAAGGGTGTGTTGATCATTCCTGCTACTGTTGGAGGGATCAAACCTGATTGCTTTAGGATTGAAAACTCTGGAGGGTGCGTTCTCTCCTTTGTGTTCGACTCGCGCTGACCTGAACATCTTACAGCATGATGGACACGTTGTTTTGCCCAATGGGACAGTGACTGATATCACAGATTCCACAAATCCAGATCTGTTCTTTGCGTTGCGGGTGAGTTTCCAGCAGTCTAATCACGTCAACTATCTTAACTTTGTGCGAAATTTCAAGGGGGGATTCAACAACTTTGTGCGTAGCGACAATTGATCTGTTGACGAACGCGCTGACAACAGCAGGGCATTATGCCAGACGAGGGTTACTGTCAAAATATATCCCCAGTCTCTAGTCTGGGTAAGGACTTGAAGTTTGGGTAACTGTGCGCTGACGATCATCTCATGTGTAGGGCGGATGTGTCTCGTATGCGCAAGATCAATGGGAGGCACCAAGCTTGGCTATTGCCAACTATTCGGCGAATGCCACCGATCCAAAGGCATCCATATACAACACATAACTATATTTCTGGAGTGGTGCGTCAGCTATCGCCATTCTCGCTTACTATTCAGCGAGTAACTTACGTGTTGCGTTGCAGGCATGCAAGCCATCAAGAACGCTGTCGATCCGGATAATGTGATGGGATTGGCGGGCAGTTGGAAATTCTAGTCCTAATTCGAACACAGAATACTTGGATGTAGATTCATATTCCTTTTCACCTATACCTACACTGGAGCCTTTTACTTAATGACGGCCATACACTCTCATTACTCGTTCGTTATGTTTCTTATCGAGCGATAACGAGCCAGTATTGGTCAACACAAACCAATTATCGCAGGTTGACACTGTCAATATAAGGCGCTGGTTGTGCCCCTTCAGAAGAAAATTATCTGTACATTGCATAGATCCGACGTCGTCTCGACCGGATTGTCGTTTCATCGTATGATGGTTCGAGTATGGCTGCAGTGTGAATTTTAGAATATGAGCTTAATTACACTGTGGGTAGTGCACTCACGGAAATCCAGTGAATGGAATCACTGGATTCCCATAGGGATGCCTACCAGAATTCAGCGTGTCGCTCACTAGAATCCAGCGATTTCTATATCACTGAAAGGACCAATTTGACATACAGAATTTTCAGCAGCGTCTTCATTGAAATTTGAGTGAACATATCATTAAAATATAGCGAGAGTATCACTTGAAAGAACTGAGGCTATCGCTGGAAAAGATTGATACCGTCACTGGAAAAGATTGATACCGTCACTGGAAAAGATTGATACCGTCACTGGAACAGACTGAAGTCATCGCTGGAAAAGATTGAGACCATCACTGGAAAAGACTGAGGCCATCATTAGAATTGTCCAATCGTAATGCAGCATTAGGGCAGTGCTAATACGTTACAGGCAAATACAAATAGACATCTAATGCATAAACAGAAAGACACGAAGCAAAGTACAGCAGTTGCAATTGATCAGTGAGCTCGAAATGGCGAGCAGAGACAAAGGGCCAAAGATGAAGAGCCAAAGACAAAGAGCCAAAGACAAAGAGCCAAAGACAAAGGACCCAACAGCGGAGACAAAGGGCCGAAGACAAGAGCTGAAGACGGAAGACCCAAGAGCAGAGACCACTTTGAAGAACAGAGACGAAGAGCAGAGATGAAGGGCTGAAGATGAAGGACCGAAGAGCAGACGAAGACCCGGTGGGGGCGGATGGCTCATCTGCGTGACTGAAACAGACAAATCATCAGTGAGACAGCACGCATAGAAAAAACTTACCCTTCGCCTTGCTGGTCGTGCACGTGAAGGTTTAGGCTGTGGTACCGGGGTAACCTGGATGCTCTCAGGCTAAGCGAGGAAGGAATTCAAGGGGAAAGTTGGTGTGAATAAAAGTTCAAGAGCGCACCAGTTCAGAGAGCTCTGATTCGTCGTCGTCTTCATATGCTGCATCATCATATGATCCAGGAAATTTTGAAGGACCCGCTGTTGGTTGCGATTTGGAAGCAACAGGCTAATGTGTAATGACACGAATATGAGCTAAAGTGAACAAGACAATGTCAGTGTAAGCATCGAGAAAGGACATACCACTTTGCGTGCGCGCTGCTAGATGATCATTTGAGCCCATGACCGAACGCAAAACATGATACTACACACCTTGGCAGCAATCTTTGCAGCTAAATCGTCATGCATCCTCTGTTCCTCCTTTCCCTTCTCGATTTCATCATTCATCTCCTTGCGGAAGCGCTCGACCTTCTCAACCCGTTTCTCGGCAGCCATTACACAGTGTTGGCGTGTAATTCTTTCAATGCGTGAGTCTTCTTCGGTCATTGGATGCAAAGAAACACCTGAATCAGCGCTAGCAATCATCTCTTCATATGCCTCTTCTAGACTGCATTCAAGGTCCTTCGATATTAAGTGGATAGCGACCCAAGGTATGAGGTAGTATTCGATATAGACCTTGAAGTCAAGGGGAGCGAAGGCCTCATTGGAAATCTGTTCATGGTCGAACATGGAAAATATCGCAGACTGGATTATCGCTTTTCCTTTCTCCCCGTAGCTAACAAGATGTCATTAATGCAGGGTGATGTCACGACGCAAAGAGTAACTCACTATCCAGGACGAGCGTGATTTGTAACCATTGCCTGGTATGCGCTGTCTGCTAGTGATGGCCAGCTTGGAAAATTCTCGTTCGGCGGAGTCACTTTGCAGACCTGTGGAAGAAAGATCTTCAAGAAACATGTCGTTGAAAAAACTGTAGCGCCTTGTGTTCTTATCGTGAATCATGAGATTCAACTCAGCCTCCATTTGGAGGACTCGATCTGAGACGGTCTCCCAGGTGATGATAGTTGGCCATCCTCGTGCTTTGGCGCATTGAATATTGAGCTTTTCTTCACGCAGTTGTCGAAGTGCTGCGCATATCTCGAGCTCCAGCCAGTAGACCCTCTGATGTCAAACAGCGGTTAGTGTTCTTGAAAGAATTCCACTGTCGAAGCTGTTTGACCAGCTCAATATTGGGGTCTGCCGGCACAAGATCCCTGCAGTTATCGTTCGGACAGACCAAGGGGAGGTCAGCAAACTCATAAGTGTCATCATCATCATTGATGGCAGTGTCAATCTACGATTCAATGAGTTCAAATGTCAGCCAGTGGCGATGATAAATCACTAAACCTTGAGATGTGCCGCAGAGGCTTCAGTTGCCAGTGGTTTAGGCTTGGTCTTGGCACGAGTGCTGCGAGGAATAGGCACAGCTTTTGCTTTCGGCTTGGTAGTTGATGGACCTTCTGTTGCAACCTTCGTGGTGCATGTGTCTGATGAGGATATTGGCTTCGACTTGGTGGCAGGTGGTGGGTCTGGACGGGTTGGAGTGGGCAGCGGCAGGTCTAGATGGCTGAGAAGGAGCCTGGGTCATCCTTGACTTCGGAGCTGGCTTTATGCGAGGTGCTGGAGCTGGCTTTGCACGAGCAGGAATAGACACCTGCAAGTCACGGTAGCTTTGAGTATTAGTAGTGTAATTGAAAGGTCTTGAATACTCACATGTGCGAACTTGAGTTTTTTTTGAGGTCGTGAGTTGTGCTCCTCGTCAGTCCCTGAATCATCTGAATCATGTATGCGCTGGTGTCGTTTTTGTCGTGAAGTTGAGGTTGAAGTATTGTCACCATCATTAAGCATGTCATCAAGTTCCCCGTCACTGAGATCTGAGTCATCTGTCTGTGTGCATACACTCAATTAGCTTGCGGCTTTCAATCAAATAACTTGCATACCTCTGAGTCGTCCTCACTTGCATGCTTCTTTGTGTATTGGACATGATTGCGAAGATAACTAGCCACAAAGTCATTGAATGGCCAATTATCACAGAACTTTGCCAGAAACTGGTGTTTGCGCTGTGCCTGAGCATGGTTAGAGTAGCATATACGCACAGAAAAGGACACAATACTTACATATGATAAAAGGAGTGTGACAGTGAGTTTGTCCTGCTCTTTGAGAGTTTTCTCCGTGTCGAGGTATCGATTCGTATATCGCCGTGCGATCATCTAATTAAAGTATGAATCATCTCAAAGTGCTCAGTCCACACAACTCACTCTAAACGCATTATATTTCCGGTTGTCACCGGCCAATCCCATTGCTTGTTGAAGATTATACCCTCCTTTTAGCTCTGATCTCCCTGCCTGACCCTTGGGCTTGTCAATTAGCTTCTTCGCATGCCCAGTGGGGCCGAGCCTTCCACAATTATCGTTTCCTACTCACACAAATGTTACTCCTATTCCTTCTAGAACTTCAACATTTGACTCACGTTGTACATGACGAAGCTCAGTCTCAAGGCGACTGAGATTCTTTGCAACCCTGTCCATCTTTCCGACCGTTTTTCCTTTGTTGTGGGGCATCGTTGATCGCAGTACATAAAGAATCTGGTGAGTTCGTCTGATATTGTCCTTTGTTGACGTGTTATTTGGTGGGCACGTGACAATTTTTCCGAATTTGTCCAAGTCTTTCATGGTTTATCGAGTCCTGCACAATGCAACCACCTAGCATCTGATACGCTGGGTTGCATATCTTCCAGTGCAGGCGCAACCCATCCATACCAATTCGTGACTGGAATCCTCGCAAAGCTTCTATCACAATACCTGACTGGTAAATAACTGCTTCTTCCCAACGAAACCAATCAAACTGACCTACCACCCACAGCTTCTCACTCTGCACTAACACACCATGCACCTCCAACTGCCAATGCCCTGGACAATCCCTCCCTATCCCTGATTCCAACCCTACCTCCCACTGCTCCTTCGTCTTCTACACCTGACCAATAGGCTATGACTACCTCACCCAACTCCCCACAGGGGAACATGAGCTCATGCTAGGCGGTGGATTTGCACAAGATGGCGATGAGGGATATGAGGTGATGGGAAATACGGACGATACAACTTTATCTGGTGTGCTTCCTAGGTAGGGGGAGGGAAGGGGTGCCTTTGGATGGGGGCGAGGGGGAGTGGGCAGAAGGATGCGTGCATTACTAGAGAACATTTGTTTGATTGCTGTATCTACATTTCGTCATCCGAAATATAATCTTCATTATACTCCTCATCCACATCCGCAAATGATGCACAAGCAGCATTGATGGTACGATCTATGATACCCCACCTTCTGCGAGTATTAACTCGGCCTACAGCAGCTTTTATATTGCGCAGATCAGGTAACGATAATTGGCAGGAATTTCTTATACTCCACAAGGATCTGTGAAGCATCATGCCCACCTGTATCGCAGGGGGCAATGACTGCGAGGATGTGGAAGGAATTTCGGTGAGTCCCCCATATGGCCCTGCCATCCAAGGTGCAAAGTAAGATCTTCTCAAGGCGACCATAGCCTATGACATTGATGATGCGTTTTCCTGAGTCATTATATTGAATCTCGTACTGCAGATGGTAAGTTCTATGATTGAATGACAACAATAAACTTACCCGCACAAAGGTGTTATCTCTGTAGGATTCCGTCAGTCGGCGAATTGCGAAGACAGTCCGAATGGTGTCCCCTCGATGGCAAATCCGTGCTTTTCCACACAGCGGCATCACCATGGGCAGTTGGGCTTGAATTTGATCTTGCCGTCCACCAAGGATCTGGTGGAAGTATGTAGCAATGGCACCCGATAAGTTATCGTCTCTAGGCCTATACTTGTAGTTGATAGGTGTGCAAATGATAAATTCAGGATCTGACACCCAATATCATTAATATGTGTGCCAAGTCGTCATTTGATAGATTGATGAGCACGTACATGTTTCAAAAACCCTTTCACCCCGTTGCAGTTCCCCAACTTGTAGACGTCGAGATGTCACACGAAAATCTTCGCCAAGATCATATTTTATTGTCACCTGGGTCAGATAGGCCATATACAACACCCGACGACTGATATTACTCCAAGGAAACCGGCGTGAATGCAGGTGAGCCTGGAGAAATCCACAGTAGCGCTCCATGTAAAATGTCCAACTCGTCCATACCGGTCCACAAAATCGTATCCCACTTGCGACATGAAGCAGACCATGTATGGGGAGGGTGCATGCCGACAATCGATCCTCTGCATATTGGTAGTAGTACCTGATTGGAAGGTTAGAGTCAACAATAGCGCTGCATTGAGAGGAATGACACTTACTCTTCATATGTTTTGACCCATTGAATTAGTCCTTCGTCGAGTGCATCGATCTCGCCATGAGTAAGTTGGAATTGAAGCATTTTCTTCATCATCCCTGCAAGTTCGCACATGTGGTCATAGTACTTCACGTCTTCGAATCGATCCTTGAGTATGATTGGGGCCAGGTACATGAACCAAAATCCCCATGCTTCAGCTGTAAAATTTGAGCGATCGTGAGCAATATTCCCAAGGGCCCGTACAAAGGCTGCAGGGATGTGCTTGACAGCATCTGCTGTTTCAGCTCCGATTTCTTCCCAAACATCATCTGGGATCTCGTAGCTCTCTAGACCAGAATCAAGGCCTTTAAAACGACCGGTCCACAGATTGACAAGGGTAGGTACGACATTCTCAAGAAACAAATGCATCCATTCATATGGAAATGATTTCAAGTAGTCCAATGATTCGACACGTCGTAGTGCAGGAGGGCCGCAAATACCAGTCTGCTTGGCGATGGCAGCTGTTGCTGTTCTTGTCGTGACTGACTTCAATGCTTCATATGTATCGAGGTAGCTCTGGTGTGAGCGAAGCGGTAGATGACGAGGGTCAAGAGATGGTCGAGGCTGGTGGTCGAGATCTGGGGTGCCAAGAGGTGTGTAGTACACTTTGCCGTGGCCGGTGATATTTCGTACTCCTTGTATCTCACATGAACGACATGGATAGACTGCATTGTGTCCCTTTATGTTCAATAGCTTCTCAATAGCAACAATATCGCCGTCCTCAAAGATGATGTATGCATGGAGATCAAAATGATTTCGAGTGGATGCGTCAAGTGTACGCACTCCATCAGCAAGAATAGCACATTCATCATCCAAAGGGACGAGGAAAGACTCAATGTCTTTCGGTTGATGAGGACCCGGAATAACTCCCACACAGATGAGGTTCTCCAGACGAGTTCGGATCTGTGGAGGCAGGTTGAAATTTTGCAGAAGGATGGGAGTAGCAGATGATCCCCCACGGCGTCTCTTGAAGACGAGATAGCCATCAGCAGATAGGGCGAGCGCTATGTCATGTCGCTTGTGAAAGTATTTGTGCCTTCACTCAACACTGTCTATGATAACACGACGGGAGCAAAGTTGGCGATACCACTCGCCATCGAACACATCCCTGATAATCCTTTCACTCGGCACAAAGTTGTGGCGATAAGTCATTTGTTCGATTATTGCAGGATTATGGAAAAGAGCCTGAAGTCGAGGGATAAGAGGAATGTACATGAATGTGCGTCGAGGGCGTCCGTGTTTGGTATATCGGGCTTCATTGCAAAAAGGACATCTTTCGTCATGAACATATTGTCCCGTGTAAGCGATGCAAGATTTTATGCAGCAGTGTATATTCCGGGGTTCAATTCCAGACAGCAGCGCTAAGCGGTGAACTACGACCCATTCAGAATCCAACATCATTTTGTGTTGGAAAGCATAACGCATTCTATCATAGGCATGGCGAGGTATGTTCGCGAGCATCTTCAGCTGAAAAGCTCGGATATTGTCTTGGTCCTCTTCTGTAACAATGTCATTACCTGTGTTAAAATGTTGAGCATGGGGTCGATTGAACAGGAAAACACTCACGGATGTCATAGAAATCACTGTCAACATTTGGTCCTGCCCAAGCATCGAGCTGCTCTGCAATATCCTGGAGCGAAAAGTGCAGATACTCATCATCATCTGCTTCATCAAAAATGAAGTTGTCGGGGATATCGATTGGCGTTTCAGATTCGTAGGAGAGATTGGATGCCTCGTCACAGTCGATATCACTACAGGCACCCTGACTATTGCCATCATCGACGCTCATGCCATCATCTGATGACTCAGTGCAGAAGGACCCAGGTCTGCCAGTCGAACTATCGCGATCCATGATTAGTATAATCAGAATAGTACTCTCTGTTGATATTACAGCAGGGCAAACTCACTCGTCATTGGAGCTACCACTCTCTTGCTCCATATATCTGTCTTCATCATCTCGCCGGTCTGAATCCGAGTCCTCCATACATTTGAGCTCGTCATTGATAAATTTGCGGTAGTGCTTATTGCGCGCAGACTTTGATAGCCATTTGCCACACGATGGTTTGCACCTGCAGGTTCCATAGTCATCAGTAGGTAAAGAATTTCTCAGTTGTGACATGGCTGGTCAACGTTGAAGGCGCGATGTCGATGGTGGTGAACGAATCAGAACGATGATCGATGTATATAGTCTTTAAATTATTATGGTCAATGCGCCGGGTAGAGATACACCGTCAAGTATGATAACGTTGAGCTCAGTCAGCAACTGTGCACATGATGGTGATGCGGTGATGGCTTGCCTGGTCCAGATCTTTCAGCTTGGATTCAGTGTGTTCGTCATTTATTTTTTTCGTGCTCAATGATTAAGTCACTGGTTTAAAGTGATCAATGCTAAAGTCAATAAGATTTTCAAACATCATATTCTCACTTAAAAAGACCTGAGTGCCATTTCAGTGATAGACCTACCGAAAACTTACGCGATCAGTGACGAACGCATGTAAATCAATTGATTTTACTACCCACAGTGTTACTAGGCCGTGTGAAAGCTAGGTGCGACCAATCTATTATATCTGATCATTTATTCTGGCACACTGAAGAGTCCAAGTCCGAAGCCAAACATCAACGCGTCACACCCAGCCGGTCTACATACTATGCATAAAAAGTGGTTGTGCGAATCAGTCGGTAAACATACACAAGCTCAGGGAAGAGCGAAAATGATCGAGTTTCCCCTTAAAACTGATGCCGAGGTGCATCTGCAAAACCACTGAAATGAATGCTTAGCTTAAGCGTGTTACGGACACTTATGAACGCTTACAACTTCAGTAGCGCAGTCATGCGATTGGTGGAGAGCTCGGACGTGTAAATTTAATGACGCAGTAGCGTCATGATTGTTAAATGGTGGAAATAATGGTATTATATTGAAATTCCTGTTTGGAACCACTAGTTTAGGGTTCGGAATGCAGGTACTTGCATTCCGAACCCTAAACTAGGGCCATTTGTGATCAGCAGTGACGACTGTTATAAAACTTCATGACAATTGTATGATTATCATCTGTGCTGTCACTACTAAGATGAGCTACTGTCTATGTGAACTCTGTGCTAAATGTATGATAACTTTCCTTATCTGCAAAGCTGTTCAGGAAAAACCGGTCATAACCCTCCAAACAAGTGGCTGAAGAAATCTTCTCGTCCACCTTGCTACCATATTCTGGTATCAATTCAACAGCGTGTGTTACATCCACCAATGATACCACACCACCACACCTATAGTGTTTGCCATGTTTGTCTACCATGTATGTGCGCTCTATCGTCCACATTGCAAGTTCGGGACAATCATTGGGATTAGCGACGAAATGGAAGAATTGGATGTAGAGGAGTGGACTGGAGAGGAATGTTGGCAGCACCAGGTCAGACACCTGTGGAATCTTTGGCTGAAAAATAAGCCGAACTTGTGCAACACGATTGGCTGAAAATAAACTTAAGTTAGGTTGAAACACAATTTCAACAATAGACTTACTACTTTGGCCATTATTGCCTGCGACATTGATTAGGATGGTATCACAGTTTCCGAGGGGGAATGCATCACTTGGTGGGTACACTTGTATCACTCTACTGGGCATGATGACCCGTGACTGGAGCGCAGAATGAAGTTGTAGTCGGAATTTGTTCCACGTGCGAAAGTGACCATATCTATGGTCCCAATGGGTGTGCTCGCCAGTGGAGAGGGATAGACGATTAATAAACTGAGAGAGCGCATGAGTGAAGTCGACAAGTGAGTATTTGGTTTGAATACTGGTAGCTGTCAGGGCCTTAAAATCTGGCATTGAAGTCAGATGGAAGGCAGTGAGAGCGTCTCCAGAAAGAACACCCTTGAGAAAATGATTCCGAACTGGTCGAGGTCCGTGAACAGAATGCGCTTCATCAGGGAGAACATGAGAAACCCAAGAAAGTGCTGGATTGACAGTTGTTACTTCTTCATCATTCAATGTGTATAGCATTGACGAGTGTCGTGCCACGAGAATAGAATAGTGCATACAGGTTAAATAACTCCATTGACTCGTGGCGACTGAGAATCCGTACGCACTGCTCTGTAAAGTCAGCAGACCGCCGACTTGTGCGCTCAAAGAGATGCTTGCAGTGTGTGATGAGTAAGCGCTCTGTCGTGTCAGCTGAAAACTGCATCAAAGAGCCTAGTCTCTCAACTGTGCCTCTGAAGCTTTGCAATAGCTCTAATTTTGGGATGAAAAAATCTTCCTTCACGCCCTTCTTTCCCCTCCTTGCCTCAGCATCGATGATAGCATCCTTGAATCTGTGAAAGTCTGCAAGTGCCTGAACCATTGATTGTAGGGAATTGGGAGAATGAACGGGATTCTGGGCAAGATAGATGAACTCTACGAGGGCGCAGATTGAACGAATGAATCTGGGTGGAGCAGCGCCTGCAATTGAAGCAACAATGGTACATTGAATATCTTGGTGCTCGCAGTCCTGTCATTTGGTTGACATGGGTAACACCTTTGGTGAAGTGGCGTGTTCCCACCCGCTTATGCTGAACCATGAAGCGAGTGTCGAGCTCATGTTTTCCTACCGTCTCCTTGACCCAATTGAGTGGATGGTCTGCAAAAAACTTGATGCAGGAATGCAAAACTTCACTAGTAAGAAAGACAGATGGGCACACATATATCCAATCACGCCAATATGGCATGTGAACTCCAGACAGGTGAACCACTTTTGCTGCCTTCTGGAATGCGTCGAGATCCCAAGGATCGACCTCCTTGGAGATTTCATAGATAAGTCATAGTGTATGTTGTCCAGTATGAGGAGGGTAGAGAACTCCGTCGCCAAAATTTTCTTGTATTGCCATAGTTATGGGAGACATGTTTCTGCTGACTGTGGTGATCATGGTAGCCTCTGGCAGGTCACATATGTGAGTGACAAGTGGCATAAAGACATAACAAATGTATCGAGAAGGATCAGGCATAAAACAACCATCCTTTGCTGCAACCTTGAGGCTGGCGCACACAAGATCGACACATTTATGCCATAGTCTTGCCTGCAGAATGCCCTGATAGTCAGGATGTACACGAAACTTAGCAATGGGCATGTAAGCGATACAACGCCAAGCTCGTAGTGTGGCCTTGGAGTGAATTTCTGAATCGAGGTTACCGATTGTGATGAAGAGTGGGTGCATCTCGAGCCCTCCAGTGGTGCATGTCACAGGTGTTTTATCTGACCCCAAGATGATCGGTACTTGTGTAGCACCGACCGGGAGATGGTCCTAAGAACACAGAATCAATCTTTGAACAGTAAACTTAAGAGATAAAATTGACCTGGATTTTCCATGCCATATCGGCACTCATATAATCCCCATATTCTCGTTGACCTCCAGTATTGACAACATGGGGCTGAAAGGTGATGTGATTGGCAAAAACCGGATCACTGAAGAGCTGCTTGACGACCTCTAAAGCATCATGCCAGATGAGTTGCACAGGGTAAGTAGTCTTGTAGCCTGTAAACTCTATGTTTGAGACCTTCCATGGCACAAATGATGGCAGTGCATCGATCCAGTCTAGAAGTTGGTCCTTTGAGGAGAAAGATGGTCTTGGACGGGTGTGAAACTGTAAGCATAGAGTCAGACCTGTCAAATAGCGCTCTAAGTTGAGTCCTACCCATTTCAACTTCAAAAACTTGTCGATCTGAGTTTGAGTCAGGTTTTCAACCAGAAACCTTCCCAATTCCCACTCCCCTTCGTCATGAAAAGGATAATAAGTGTTGCTTTTTCTCCAATAATCATATGGATCTTCTTGCAACCTGTCGAATAGGTTTTTGCCGACACCGAAGATATAGCCAGATTGAGGATGATAATGGCCGGTGGTAGATGATCGTGATGAATGTGAACCTCACAATCCAGGTGAAATTGGGAATTGTTGCGGACGTGATTCGTGAGGCCAACAGGTAGACTGAGAATTGAGATGCAGAATGATTGCCTTGATAGAAGGGAACTCCCTGTTACAGTTTGGACAAAGCCTGGTAAAGGTATGTCAGTCTGTACAGTTATGATCATAAAGATACTCACATTTACAAAAAGCTCCTGTGCAAGTATTTCCTTGTCAAAGCTTTGCTGACATTGCAACACAGAAAATGGTGAAGTCTTTGAGACTCCGCAGACTGTGCATTCACACAGGGTATTGCCATACTGATATCAGCCTATAGGATTAACAGATCTCTTCCATATCTCAGTACATTTATCCCGCTGTGACAATCATATTGGCGCTAGGCATGTATACCTGCATAAGCCTTCAATAGGTGGACCAAAGCTAGACCTCATATCATTCACTATTCCCCTATACACGGTCTTCACTTGTCTCAGCTATAATCCTTGTCCGACGCTATTCCGCACTTTCCCGCACTATGCACGCACATTCCCACAGCGCTATTCATGTTCCCGCGACTTATCCTGCGCTATTCCCGCGCTTATAGCACTGTCGGAACTACCAGCAATGTGTCTATAGGAGCATTAGTGCATGTCCACTCTATCTAGCGCTTGTTCCCACGCTTAGCGCTTATCCAGCGCGCTGTTCTCGCGCTCTAGGAATCACCCGAAACATCGGAATCCATCCATGGTCCATCCTACCTCATTGGTATGTAATTTGCCTTGCCTCGAGTTTGTAAAAAGTGCTACAGTCTTATTACATGTATATCCTATCCCTTCTGAGTCCGAGATGGTATAGTTTACTAGTATAAGAAGCCTATGGTGACTATTTCAACATTACTTCCCTTCGACTGTATTTCCTTCCCTTAGGTTTTACTTAGAAGTAGTCACCCCTTTAGTTGCGCTCTTATGGCCCCTATTTGACTTCCCTTACTCTTGCAATCAATACCCTTGATCTCACTCGCTATTCATTACCCTCCTTTGACTCAGTGTCCGCTTTCTTGACTTCCGCTCTTTCCCGTGCATTAGCGCTCTATCTTGCGACGCGCTATTCCCGCGCTTTAGTGCTCTTTCAGGTCTTTTGATCTTAAGTTGTTCTTAGTAGCTTTTCCCTCGGGTCAAACGTTCTTGCATCTTTGTTGCAAGTATAGCAGCATAGGCAGAGCATTAGACATATACTGGCTGAGTACCTTAACAAGTGCCTAGTCAGGTTGTGTTTTTCACACCGCATCACCAGGTTCAGAGTTCTTATAGACAATGTCTTCTCCATCTCAGCGCAGCAGTCCTCTCCCAGTCTCATCTCCTCCTTGCCCAAGCAGTCCCCTTGGCCCTCCTTCAAGCAGCCCCCCATATTCTCCTCTATCCAGTCACTCCAGTAGACGTCCTGCTACTCCTGGATCACTTCTTTTCATTCTAGCTCCAAGATAGGGAGCTCTCCCGATACAATGCACTCTGACTTGTGTGGTTCACCACAAAGCCCGCAGCTACCTAAGCCTGCTGAAGACACGCTGAGGGCGAGGAATGATAAATGGATACTAAGGGGGAATGTGTAGTGTGGCTCTCAAGTGCTCCTCTGGAAGCGAGCAAACAGTCGTCCCAAGGGGATTGCTACTGAGAATAGATTCCTCTAATATAAGTGAGGGAGATCCAAGACTAGAACTTCGGTCTAGGAAACCTAAGTAGAGTGCTAAAGCCTAAATGCACTCAGAATAAGTATGAACTGCGCGAGGCGCTTCGAATGTGCTGATAGTGCGGCGGCCAAATATAGGACGCGCGCTGAAAATGACTGATGCGGCTCAGAAAGCTCGAGTGGATTCAAAGTGTTACTGGGGCTATGGACTGCGATGCTCGTGGAACGGAAGTAAGTATCCAAAAACTAATTCTAACGCGGAAGTACCGCTAAGCGCTTTCCCATGGAGCGGAGCCGAGCAAGTGAGTACGTATGGTGTGTAATGGCACATAAGTAAGGGCCCGTAACGCGAAGAATGTCATACGGCGCAGGAATATCATCAGCGTGATTCAGGCAAGGGAAAATACGCACCAATGGACCGGGGAGGACATGGGTAGGACGTGCGGAGGACAAGCGATGGGATCTGGTGCGCTGAGCTGTGAGCGGCGCATACGCGCACGCAAAAGCGCCTGCGGTGCGGCTGTGAGGGAGGCTATAGGGAGTGAAGGAAAACGCTAGAAGTGCGCCTGTAGGGGCGCAAGCCTCTACAATGCATAGCATATTATTTGATCCATCTAGCTCTCCAAACCTTGAACGTGCTGCTCGACACCAGTTCATACACAACAGAATGAAGAAGAAGCAGTCTCCATATCCTGTGTATCCAGCTCCAATTGAGCTCCATTATGCAGCCCGTTTCCTGGGGCGAGAGAGCAACCCATATGTATCATTTGACTGCAATTTCCAAGGTACAATATATGTCTTCTATCAACGTACAAAGACTAACTTTTGAATTTAAGCATGCTGAATACTTGGAAAACGGCCTTGCGACACTGCGTCCATCAACCTTGTACAAAGGATATAAAGCCAAACTTGCTGCCCGTGAGACTGCCCGCCAGCGACTTGTGGTAACTGCATGGGAAATTGAGGAATCTGAACGTTTTACTGCATTCCTTGATGCCCTGCATGCCGAAAATGAAGACCAACTGGGATTGGCGGACAAGGAGTTGCAGAGGTTTAGGTCATTTTTTTTCCGAGCATGACCGCCTGCAAGTTGATGATGATAGAGATTATCTTCAAGCCATCTATTAAGATGAATGCGAAATCCTTCGTGTTACCTCAGCCCAAGCTGAACAGATCTCCAAGATCTTAGGTTCACGGGTCAAAGATGCTTTCTTGCAATCTGGAGCTGCAAAATCGCGACCCCGTAGTCTTGAGATTCCTGATGATGAAGATGACCACATCGTTCTAGACAGTTCCGAAGATCTGGATTCCGAAGAAGAGTGCCCTGGGGTGGGGGCTGGTGAAGCGTCTCACCAGCCACATGCCCTTCCAATCATGGTATGTGAAACAGATTTCTTGATATCATCTTATGGAGCTGATCAATTGATAATAGGACATGTAATATGCATGCTGTAGTAGTGCTGCTGTTTGATTATGACCACCCCATATTGTATCAGTTTGTCACCCACATGCTTTATTTTTCCATCGTACCCCTTCATCTTAACCTCCTTTAGCATCTTCTCGCTGCTTTTTGATGACATGTGTTTTGTTTAAGTATGATTTGTAGTAGAATGCTACACGGATATTTATCTGTACCCTTGATCCTTCCTATTCCCTCAATTGTGGCTCTAGTAAATGCCTCCAAAATGTACTAAAGGTAAAATAACGATACCAAAACCCGCTCGCGGGTCTGGTCTGAATCCTTCGCACTTCCCTGCAAATACCCAGATGGATCTCAGCGACGAACAACCAGAGGAGCCAGCATCAAATGCTTTCAATCTGCATTCATAGTATGTGTCTTTCTCCGTGTCAAGAAACGCTACTAATGCATGCGTTAGCTACAGTAACTATACCAATCCGTCATTCAGTACACATTCCGGTTTTGCGCCCTTCAACTACAATGATGACACTCATGCTGGCCCATCGTCAAGTGCTCAAGATGATCCATCATCAAGCGCCGGTCTTGGTTCATCATCAAGCGCTAACTTGCAGTAAGTGTTTTTTTCATTTCAAGATCTACTACTGATGCACATGATGCGCTAGCTACAGTAACTATACCGATCCGTCCTTCAGTGCACATTCCTGATCATGCGCCCTTCAACTACAATGATGACGCTCGCACTGGCCCATCATCAAGCGCCGGTCTTGGTTCATCATCAAGCACTAACTTGCAGTAAGTGTTTTTTTTTCATTTCAAGATCTACTACTGATGCACATGATGTGCTAGCTACAGTAACTATACCAATCCATCCTTCAGTACACATTCTGGTCATGCACCCTTCAACTACAACAACAATGCTCAGTCTGGCCCATCATCAAGCACTGGTCTTGGTCCATCATCAAGCGCTAACTTGCAGTAAGTGTTTTTTTTTCATTTCAAGATCTACTACTGATGCACATGATGCATTAGCTACAGTAATTATACTGATACATATTTCGGGATGCATTCCGGTCATACACCCTTCAACTACGATGACAACGCTCACGCTGGCCCATTGTCAAGCGCCAACTATTCACTGCCTAACTATCATCCAGACGAGCTTTCAGCACTTGATGATATGTCAGGTATTGTGCCCAATCCGCATCACATCCAAGTACCGTACTCGTCCACTGAAGCTGAACCATCTCTGGGACCTCAGCACAATCCTCCCCCCATTACAATGGGGGAGATACCGGTCTCACAAGTCATCCATGTAAGTCTCAATTAGCATGTCTCATTAATCTCACTAAAAACTCGACATTATAGACTACGGGACCTGCACGATCATCTGATAGACAGCGACGTGCTCGAAAGTTGCCCGGAACCCTGTATCTCACTCATCAAGACTCTGATGTACAGGCCAACATTGCCGTGACAACAGAGGCGAATGTTACTGTGGTGCAAGCAACCTCAGGGGCCCCAGATGACAATCGTCACTTCATGGTCACGGGAGCCATCCGTGACCAAATATTTCAGTGTGCAAAAGAACTTGCAATGGGGGTTATATTCACAAAAGATGCAATGGCCACATCAACTGATGACAAAAACCTTATCGTCAAGAGTCTCCTTCGACAAGCAACACCGAAATTTCCAGGGCTTTCTGGTATGTTGAGTCATATAATTATTCATTAACTGATGTACCAATAGGAACACCACGCTGGAGCAATCAAAGTAAGGACATTACGAAGATATGGCGCAAAGTCATTGTTGTGTGCACAGTGCTCATGACATTCACTCGAGATGGAATTGTCGTGGTGTACGACCTTTTCTTCTGCAGGGCAGCCAAATTTCCCCTGAGGCTTCCGTGTCACTCGTGTTGGACGTCTCATTTGAGATAATAGCTTCATGCACAAATATTCATTTAATGCGGTACAATTTTTACTTAACTCCAAATGACATACTGAGTTTTCAAATAGGATGGGATGCTCACAATTCACGCAAAGTTCAAGAATCCATTTATCCTCTTCCTCATCACCAAACTCATCTGGAATACCCGTTTCCTATTGGACAACTTGCTCACCTCACCGCATGAACAGTTACGCTACATGATGGGATTAGCTGGCACATTCACGAAATGCGCGCTGATGGAACAGGGACGTGAGGTGCTCAGCGCCACACGTAGGTTATCTCCAGAGGCAAACTCTTCAATGTTTGATGATATCTGCTCAGAGATGGACGATCTCAGCATCAAGGAGCAGGCTGACTTGGACAAGTGGATAGATCACATAGTGGTTTGTGGTGTTTCTCAACAGCATATCAAGGTTGAACTCTCTGATTTCAACTTGGACTTGGACTGATGCGGCCTGTGACCTATAATTCTACTGTAGTGTGACATGTGAACCATAGTAATATTAGAGTTTTTGTACATATCCTCGCGAAATTCAAGATATTTGACTATTTCACTGACTTAAGTGCCATCCAAACTATCATTTGTGTCAATCAAACCAAAACGAGTGTTTACGAAACACCGTCCTGAGCTACACCAAATTAGTTTGTTCTGAACATGTTTTGACTTCGTGTCGACCAACTCGGCTTTTTCAGATGTGGACAACGACGACCAAGCAAAAATCTGCCTAATTTCATAAGCTACTCCAAATTCTCCTGTCCTTCACATGCACACTCGAGCCTAAGTTAAAATTTGGATGTTTGTTGCACTGAATACAGTTGACACATGACTAGGACTACCACACTCAATTGGATTTCCTTGTAGCTCCCAAGTTTTGGTGTTCCACAGCTTCATCGTGTCAAACCCTTAGCAGCACTTTTCCATCGCAAGAACGGTCCAGCAAGTAGATGTGTCTGGAGTGGGCTTTGATGAGTTGGGTGAGTGATTCCCTGTGATTCCCCAATTTCTCCATTCCAAGCGATGACCTCTCCCTTCAGATCAGCGCTTGCTACCAATAAAAATTGCTCATCTCGTGATACCGCCAATCTCAACACGCAGCTGCAATCCCCCTCCATCTTCTTCAATACAACACCTGTCTTGAAATCCCACAGACAAAGTGTTTTGTCCTTCGATGCTGTAACCATCCGTCGTGTGTTGGGAAACACTGCAATTACTCATACCCCTTCTTCATGACCTTTGAACCCTCAGCATATGGAACGTGGTCACTGGTGCTTAGAATGAGTTTTTACTGAATGTTGGTGGCTGTTGAGCACGGTTGAGGTGGAATTTGGAGCGACTGTGGACATCTTCCTCTAAGTTGCAGAGGTGCGTATACTGTGTGTTGTCTGACTAGGATGTGAAAGGCAAGAAAACTCTCCAAATTTCACTATCCTCCACGGTCAACGGTTCAGACAATTACCAACAGGTTGATAATGTGGTCGTTCGTGGGGGATGAGGTGTGTTGAACTTTTCAAGCGAACGCTAGTGATGTAAAAGGGGCAAAGAACGATAGAAACTAATAATGATAGAAACCAATAAGTAGCACAAGATAGTGCTATAACCTTCAGAATAATGTGTTGCAGCTGTATGCAATGAACTAGAACTATACTATATCCCTCTTGGATATTCCTTACTTATACTTCAGCAATGGAGAACAAATTCACTAGCGGGATCAGTCCCAATACGTGGCCTCGAAACCAACTCTCTGCTGCTCAGGATCTCACAATGAGTAATGACACAGTCCAGAATAGAATACACCTTCTTAATGTAGTCTTAAGTGGCCAAGCTCTTAATATTCGTTGACAGATTGTAGGTCTTATTTGTGTCTACCCTAATTGATGAATAATATGCGAGATTCTCCCCACAGAACTTTTCCTGTGTCTAAAAGAGAATTAGAATGATTGAATGATGATAGAATCAAAGTTGGCTCAAGAATGTGGCCAAATACTTCTGAAGAATGTGAAGTATAATGTGCTTTAAGAATGTGCGATAGAATCAAAGTTGGCTCAAGAATGTGGCCAGATACTTCTGAAGAATGTGAAGTATAATGTCAAAACAATGGAGCTAAATAAGCTAATATTTCTCCTGATATTCACTTGAATGTTCACTCAAATAATGGGGACAAAGAATCTAAGGGGTGAAAGAATGTTCCCCTACGTTCCCCTAACTGTGCTTCACTCTGTTAATACTTGGGAATCAAATTGATTGCTTCACAAGAGGGGAAAATGAGCCCCCTTATATACTACTAGACTAGTGGCTGTGCTACTGATTACTAATGTACTATAGAATATTCCAGAATGTGTCAGAATTATTGAGAAAGAACTATAGAATGTTATAGAATGTTATAGAATGTCATGGAATGTCATGGAATGTTATGAAATGTCATAGAATGATTGGTAAGATACTCATAGAATGTTCTAGAATACTCAGCAAAGGCTGTGTTTCAGGTCCTTCTAGCACTGCCTTATTGCTGTGCATTGATTACCAATCCATTCCAGGCTATTTGTTGTATATCTTGGTTTGGTTGGCATCACTGCCTTGAGTACATAGATGTAAATAAAGTGTGCATAGAATGTGTATATACATATGTTTAAAGGGTACGTTAAGTATTTAATTTGAACCGCTAAGTCGTATCTTGGTGATACATGCTCAGAATGTCCAAAGTAAATTGAAGTAAGGTATAGAAAATTCAGGGGAAGTGCATAGACTATAGTAAGGAATTGCATGTATCATAAATTTGCCATGACCATGTACGAAACAGGTTTCATGCGTGTCAGCGTTTATGCTGCTTGGCTGCATTAACCTGCCTTGTTTTAGTAGCTGCCCAGGACATGAGGCTGTTTGCCTCCTCACGCCTCCATCACCGTTGCAACAAGAATGTACCCTACTCTCATGCCCACAGTTTTTGACAGTATACCCTCCCAGTGCCCTCTGCAGTGCATACATGTGTCCGACTATTGTCTCCACAGCTTTTGGAATGTATCTTATCGCATCCAATCGAGCAGCTAATGTTTCCCAACCCCCGAATCCGACTATCTATCCTGCATGAGTGCACAAATATCATTGTCTTTCGTGTTGAGCAGCTACTCCATGTCATATACCATATATCCGGTTACAGATCCGATGATCTGGATCTCAGATCTGATCCAGATCCGATGAACATATCCGTCGTCCGGTCCACAGATCCGCTTTGATTCTTATTTCCTTTCCTGTTCATATAACTCTAACTATCGTTCATCTCCTTTCGGTATTCCTGTACACCGGTATACCGGTTATCCTTTACTTCCGCTTTGCTTACTGATCCGCTACACTTACGAATCCGCTTTTACTTGTACTTCATTCCCGGTTCATGATTCGTGATCCATCCGACTTACCAATACACTCCACTTAGACTTGCTTATACTTTCATACATAGCCTCGCACCTTTGCTTATTGATCATTCCGTTAGCTATCCGTAGTATATAAACCTTTGTATATGCGCTGTAGTAGATCAGTTCGAATATCATCTTAGATTGCACTCATTCCGTCTGGACTCTAAGTCCCTCCGTTATCCGTCTGGACTTGAGTACGCTACTCTTGTCTACTCCGAGACTTAGGATAGATTCCTATAGTCTACATATCCGCCTCTGTCTTCGGACAGTCCTCACCCGTTAGTTTCTAGTCCGGATCCGATCCGGATTGGCCGTTACTCTATACGTTCGATATCCGGAAGTCTTAACGGATCCGTTGCAATACTTATCCGTTGCGATACAAGACTTATCCGTTACAATACTTATCCGTCTCACTAGATGCGATACTTTAGCTCTCTGAAATAAGGGGCAAGACTCGGGAAAGGGGCACAAGCGCACGAGCTGAGGCCGAAGCCCTTCGGATCCGATACTACTTGAGGACGGTCTTAACACTCCAGCACATTGTGACTCACCATGTCACTCTTTCGAATGCATGCATATAGCCTACTGTAATACATCATGTCAACTCTCAAGTTCTGCGTGTTCCTGCATGTAGCCGAATTTATCTTTCTTCGCAACTCGAACAGCTACTAACTCTGCAATGGGGGCATGTCCACTTCCAATATGCATTTCATCCAACACTTATGCTTTTTTCTGCAGCCTTGCTTCCAGCGTTCCATTCATCTCATCCTCAACTTCTAGCCCAACTGGTTTCGGTTTTCTCATTTGCCAATACCCTACCAAATCCATCCTTCATTGGAATCATGCAACAAATACCAGTGCAACATGGTTGTTAACCTCTGCTGCGGAGGTGTAACTCGCGTCAGTAGAGCAGGAACTCATTGAAAAATTCGCATGCTGTACTGCCTGCCTGATTCCATCCTTCACCAATTCTAATTTTCCACATGGGGAATCACCATGTTGGTCTCCAAATTAAAGTCTGCTTTCAAGTCAGTATGTGATAAAATACAAGTTTGATCATCAAGGTACAAACAAAAACCACTCATAGATCTTTTGAAGACTACAGTACCTCGAGCTGATGTCCATCATATTGCCAACAGAAGTCATGTCTTTAACCTGTGCAATGATATCATGATCCGATGTGATCCTCTTGAATTGCACATTGCATTGCTGCACTGGCAAAAATCTACCAAAAGTTTGTCAAAGGTGAACTATCAAATGCAATGCTCGCGAGTGAGAATCCGTGTTGAACTTGGGTACATGACTCTCCGGTTCTCATTCATGATACAGATTTGAGGGTCTAATTCTTGCGTTGAGGTTTCCACATGTCGAAGGGGCCATGCTCTCTACGAGTATAGCATTCTTGACAGCAATGTTGACAACCACGAAACGACGCACTTTGGAACGGTTCTTGAAGGCAAATGAAGCCAGGTTTGAAACTAGATCGAAAACAGGATGGTTTCGTTGTACACTAAAAACATCAAATCACTACATAATAGGGGAAATTATCGAGCAACAGAGAGTTTAGTAGATAACCTCATGACTGATGCGGGGTGGGATGACGACGACCAAAGAAAAATCTGCAGCAGCTAACTTCATAAGAAATCTCTCCCATCCCACTACCTGCGCCTTGTGTTTCCATTGGGCATCCTTCAGACACTTGTGTCTCTGGCACAGCCTGAGGCTGACCTGCTTGGGTCGAACTACCAGCCTGGTTGCCATTGGTACGTTGCACAGCTGCAGGCCGCTTCTGCGCAGGCCACTTCTGCTGCGGTGGGAGGGGAAACGTATATTCTCTGCAAATATATTGATTTCGATATCAAAAAGGAGCAGTGACGACTCACATTTTCCTATTGAACTTCCTCCTGAAAATAAGTTGAAATTCCACTGTCGGGGCTCAAGTGGCATTGATTGTGGCATGTTTGGAGGTCGATTGTTGAAATGCAGCGAACCCAGCACATTGCGCCAACGAAGGCCAAATGATGGACTAGCAGGAGAAGTT